CTTAGAGCATCTCCAATGGAACATTGTCCATTTTGTGTTGTATGACATGGAGAAGGGAAATTAAAAAAAAATTCTCCAATGGTTAATGTTAATTGTGGTATCATTTCTCATGTGTAAAATAGTAATTGGTTGGAGAATAGAGATAAAATTGAATAAATAATATAATATAATTTCTCAACTACTTCCGCATATTTTTTTATCATAGTGATGTAATTTTTATCATAGTAATATAATTTCCACCCAAGCCTTCCAAGGATAAGCCAAAACCACCAAAAACTGTGAAATCAATAGATGATCTTTACAAAGACTGCCCTGAACTTCTCAGAAGTTCCCAAACAGAGTAAATGTACATCTTTGACTTGTTATGCACACTAAGTACGAAAGAAGATACATGAATTACAAACATGAGAGTTCACTGCAATGTGAAAAATGCTGTTGAAAGTTAACTACGTTGGACCTAAAACGACATAGTTTGCTACACAGATGCTAAGGATCTTTTCCAAGTGCATGGCTTTGCCTCGGGCTGTGTTCATGTATTCTGATGCTCGGAAATTATATCAAAATCATGGTCCCCTCTAAAATAACCTGACTTCGAGCACGGAGAGTGAGAGTTCTTATAGAATGGTCGAAAAGAAAAATTCCATCGCAAGAAACTGTTCATGAAGCTTAAGCATACATTTTTTATAATTTTAAACTAACTTCACTTTCTCTTCCAAAGTTACAAAATTACGAATTACAAGTGCCAGACACCACCAAACTCAGCCTGTGTATATAAAATCTTACATGCCTCCCTTTTTTCAAGACCAGCAGGGATGGCATTAGCAGTGAAATAAATAGAAATTAGCATATACGGTAGCCAAATATATCGCAGCTACAATGTACTAAATGTAAACAAGGGAAACACCATGACAAAAGGCAAGATTGCCAAATAGTTGATTTCATCTAGAGCAAAGGAGGTGAAATGAGACAAATAAATTCTCTTTGGATGTATATAAATACTATCATACAGCTAAGGAAGTACCAAAAGCAGCTAAATGCGCCAAAAACCAGTGTGTGCAGAAAAATAGAAAAATCCTGTGGTTAACAAATCAGGATACAGCAGTATGACAAGGCATTGTATTTGCATTCCATCATGACGACACTTTCTTCATATCCATCAGAAATTCAGGTTTGGTCCAAATGAACCGAAACAGCATCAATCCATCTGAGGAACTATAAAAAGGAACAAGAAATTTGAGAGAAAGTGAAAAAAGAAAGGTCCAAAATAAATGTTCTGATATAAAAATTTTCTCAATTTACCAAGAAATGCACATAATCTCAATTTTTCTTTTTCGTCTTTTTTTTTTAGCCTATTGTTATAGCAGTGCGCGTGATTTACTTGATTATTATTAAGTGAAACCACAAGTGAGATCAAGGTTTATATAATTTTCAACTGCTAAACAAAACTAGTTTAACAATTCAAAGAAACAGTGCCACTGAATTTTACGAGGGTCTCATGATCTCTGAGGACATAATCCCTTCCATTTTACCATATGTGTTCACACTTTCATATGTAAATTCATAAGATATGAAGAGGAATCTTACACAGTACTGGTAAAAAATGAAGAAAACACCAACATATTCTTCAGAAGAGAACATACATAATGACAAGTTGGATTATCATCACATGAGAATTGCGAGTTTCATCTTTAATTCCATTGAATATTTAAAAAAGAACACTTTTGGACTGAAAGGAGTATGCAATGTCGAAGTTTATAAGAACTTTTAGGTATTTAAGGAAAAATGACAACAATATATCAATAATGTTATAGAAAGATGACCAAAAAAAAATAGCAAGAAGCACACGTACAGAAGCATGACTGCAGGAGAAAAAACTCAGCCGCTACAGTAACCAAAATAGAAAAATATGGAGCTGCGGAAAGCTAGTGATAATATTTCAGTTAAATACCTGAAGAAATCAAAATCATAGAAGCCAAGTGCAATAAAAAGAACTATAATATCATTCCGTTATAGAGAACCAAATGAACCAGGAGGATACAAAGAAGGATACAATAATTTGCAAACACCAGCACGACCGCTTGCTGCCACATTTTGTGAACAAACAGAACAGAAAAATCCAGCTTACTGAAACTTTTAACTCCAAAAGAAAAAAAAATATATATATCAGATGAAAAGAAAACTTACCATAAGTTGGAAAATAACCAATCTGAATTTCGTCCAGTCTCCAGTCTGTAAGAAGAAACCTCATACATATGAAGAGAAGCATCACCAACCTAAGTCCACCAAAAATTATAGTCAGCAAAAACTTTAGAAATCATCCTCATAAAACTCATGGGATCCCGTAGGCTCGTATCTGTCATCAAATTCATGGTGTGCACGACGAGAGCTACTATGATTCATGTTCTTCTTTCTTATCCTTTCGTCCCATTGCTCCCTTTTATCTTTGTAACTCTCTCTTTTTCTACGGCTACTTCTCCTGTGCTCGTCCCTTTCCTTTTCATGATTATAACCCTCCTCATGCCCATCCCTATTTCTCTTATGATGCTTATGCTCGTGTGGCTCACTCCTTTTGTCGTGTAATCGTCCATCTCGCCTTCTGGAATAATCTCCTCTGTCTTGTCTATTTCTATCAACACCTTTATCGTGATCTTGGTGCCCACGATCCCAACTTGGATCTTGTTTTGTCTGTTGAATGTCATTCTTAAAGTCATAATCATCATGAGAAGAAGTATGAAACTCTTTCCTGGAATCAAGCGATCCTTCTCTATTCTCATTAGGAATCACAGGATATTTCTTTGATTTAGAAACATTAGTAGAGCTTGCATGCGTATTCCGATTTTCTGTTCCAAAAACTTCAGTTTTCTCCACATTCTCTGAAACGTCACCGGTCCCTCTGGCTTTCTTGATTTCCTCCATATATTCTTCTATGATATCCCTTGTCACCTATTTTCAGAAAATAATAAACAAAGAAAAGGTCCATTGATCTGAAACAATTTATTTATCAGAATATTCAAAACGTTACTGAACAGTAAGATTATGAAGTGGATAGGAGAGTTGACACTGAGACCAACCCGAAGTCATAGTCTTTTATAAATTGTTTGGAATCACTCTTCGAATGGATATATAGAAGTCCATTTGAAGAATAATTTGTGGTCGGTGGTTAGTAAAAAATGGACTTCAGGATTCACAAAGGTCCATTTTAAACAAGGAATAGAGACTTTTGGAGAAGTATATTTTCTCTGCAAAAGTTCTCCCAATAAGCACAAAGTTTATGGTAGATATAACTCCCCTAGAAAATAATTACACACAAATGTGAAGTCTGATGAACGAATTACTTAGACCCACAGTAAAGATGATGAAAAAAATATACTCCCAGTCACAGGATTAAACTGCAAAGCTCAACAGGTCGCATTTGGTACATGCATCAGCCTTAGTTTCATTTCTTTCACATAATGAACTAAGTCCTCGAGGAAATTGAAACTAGTATAACAGGGAGGCATACTTTTGGCCCCCTTATAGCAATGTGCATTGTTTTATAATGCAGAATTGCGGAAAATAAGAACAGTCTGTATTATGTTTGTGTTTAACTTAGGCTTCAGATCTTTATAAAGAAGAAAGCTCAACATACCACAAATTTTCAGAAACTTCTACATATTATGACAGGAGTAAAGGATCAACAAAAAGAGAAACGTAATTTATTGATGATAATATAACAGGGACGAAACAATAAATAAGAAACTTCTCAAAGAATGTATGAACTTCTCCAGCAGAATCTCTGCCCAGCAAGAAACTTGCCCAATAGACTATGCTATTACAAAACATGTAACACCCCGCCTAAACTTAGACTTACCAACTTAGACTTACCAAAATCAGAGTAAATTTTTCGCGCTATAAATCGAAAGCGGTGATTTAATTTTCGAAACTCATATTAATTGTCGAAAATACTTTAACTTCAATACGCGAGATGTTACTTAACTTTAATCTTTAATCTAACATGCATGCGACCAAGTAACATTCATTCTAGAACTAAGTCCATGAAAATTTACTGGATCTACACATGCATTCTGAAATACTCAAATACAGACATACTGTTTTGAAATTCTGAAACATAGTTCTGAAATGCGGAAGCAAAGATAGTTCGGAAAGCACACACAAGCATAAATAAACATGCAATGACACAAGATAGTTCAGACATGTTCAAATACTACATGACATGTTCAATCAAAATATATTGGCTGATGACCACCACCACATATCCGCTCACGCTCAACGCGGGACTCCATCACCTGAAAAATAGTGCAGTGAGGAGGCGTGAGCACAAAGGAATCAACGGTGCTCCGCCGTAACCGGCACTGAATATTCAGCACATCTAATAACCCATCATGAAAATAGCATATATATAAATAAACTGGAACCGACTATGGGACTAATGGTAACCGGTACTCGTGTGCACACTCTGGAGGTCCCCTCCCACAGAAATCCAGGCTGGACATCACCCACTCATCTGGACGATAGACTTAGGACGGGCCCTAATCACACACATCCAACTCATAACTTAAATACTGATATATTGACCAAGGCGGGATCACTCATCCGTCTCGATCATTCAATTTAATCACATATAGATCTCAGACAGGTAAATTATTAAAAGCAATGAAATACACAATACATGGTCTCCACCTGGAAACTGGCGAATGCAAATGCTGAAATGGGTAGCTGACGGGGGCTCGACTCTTCTCAAGTTACAAAATATATTAAGCGAAATATTCTAAGTACTGGGCTCAGAATAAAACTCAAATCTTTAATATCTTATTGTCTAGGTTCGCTCACTCTGCTTTAAAAATCATTTTAGGGATTTACGAGCTGATTTTAAAAATATTACTGTCTTTGAGACATTCTAGAGTTCTCTGAAATATTTCTAAGTCTGGAACTAAAATCTGACTTAATTAAATCTAACTGGGCTATAATCTAACTAGACTTAAGTCTATCTGAAATTCCTCCAACCGTCAGGACTGATTCGGTTGAACTGATATTCTCTTCGGACCATCCGGACTGGTTCGGCTGAATTGGACCGACGACTCACTCGGAGCCGGTCGATCATTCGCTTGACTATGTGCAGCTCGGTTTGACCGTGGTCAGGGTTCGACGTGGCAACTCGGGCAGGCATGAACTCGACTGACACGGCCTAGCCGATGCACGGGTTTGAAACGGTTTCCACGGTCACTGGCGCAGGGGCTTGTTTGGACTACGACTAAGAGATACGGCGCGTAGACTGTAGACGGATGGACTCGGTGCACGGGCACGCACTCGGCGGTTCGGCTCCAACGGTCGGACGAGGGTCGATCACGTTCGCGAGACGACGATACGCGTTTAGAATTATTGTTACGGCGTCTAAAAATTATTTAAACGATACTAGTGTTCCGTCAATTGTATTCGGATCCGAAAATACCTGGTTATCGGAACCGAATAAAACTAGGGTTTTGATTCTCGAAAATCCTAACTCATTTAAGGCCGAATTTAAAAATATAATTTCTATGTGATTTATAATCCACAACTGCAGCTAAAATCGCAACCGAACTAATATTCTATATTTATCGCATTAACGGCTAAAGTCCCGATTTTTAATCTAGGTCAAACGGAATCCAAAATTTACGAAATTCGAAACATAGCATCCTCAACATACATATAGTCCATGGTCAAAGTATTAAGTCTAAAATCAACTCCTAACCCAATCAGCTCAAAATAACTACGACCGGTCAACACATTCGACCGGCTCGTTTGCCTATCAAATGAAGTCCGAAAATTCTCAAATTCGCACCTAGGCCTCAAGACAACGCAACGAATTTAATGATATTTATTACGACATTTATTGACAAATTCCGATAAATTTGCTTCAAGCTCAAATGTCCCGATTTAACCAAATTACGCTCAAACCATCATTTCAATATCTCTTATATCATTTAACCATCAAGTCTAAGCCATTAAAGTCGGCACTAATGGATTATACCTCAAATTGTTCAAATCGAATGGATCGGGCTAAAGAGTGAAAAATGGAACAACCCGATTCGGCTAGGGGCTGCCCGAGTCGGATCTCGGCTATGGAGCTGCTGAACAGGCCGGTTTGGGGCTACTCGGGTCGGGTCCGAGGAGTTGGGCACGGATCCAGGCGGGTTTCGGTGCAAGGGGGCGGGTCCGGGCTGTTTGGCGCAAGGTGGAGCGAGCTCGAGCTTGGAGGCGCGCGTGGAGGCGTTTGCTCGCGGGTGTACGGACGTCGGACCTCTGTTGGTACGTGAAGGGTGGCTGGGAGCTCGGTTTTGCTGCTGTGAGGACAGGGGACTGAGGCGCGTGCTCGCTGGAAAAGCTGGGAACGAGGGCTGGCCGAGCTTGGAGGCGGAAGGGAGGTGCGACTGTTGGAACCGAGGAGCTGGGGCCGTGAATGCGAACTTGGGTCGGTGGTGAGCTCGAGCTGGGGGGAGGGGAGGCTCGCCGGAAACCACCGGAAAAGCTCAAGCCATGGTTGTTGGAAGAAGAAAGGCTTATGTTCTTGATGTTTGAAAGGAGATCTTAGATTTATAAGGCTAGAACTTGATAAAAGCTAATACATGATGTAGATTTTTGCACAAGATTTGGGAAAAATGGGAGTGTTCTTGACTAGATCTAGAAATGAAGAGGTAGGTAGGAGATAATGAATATTGTAGAGAGGAGCTAGGGTTTTCTTGTGTTTGGGTGTAGGAAAATGAGGGTGTGTTGGGGTATTTATACCCAACACAAGATTAGGGTTTGCCTTTCATCTTGGACTATTTGCTTGGGCTTTGACTTAAAATCGAGCTAGAATATTAATCGACTTGCGCCGAAGATAATATTGGGCTCGTTATTAAAATACTACGAGGGCTCGCTATTTAAAACATCGTTGGGTCTTGGTAATTAATTCGGCTACTCGAATTAAAAATGGGCGGACTAATTAAAATAAATTCTCGACTATTCGATAAAATAACTTATCGAAGTTTCGAGAGTTCGCTCGGATGCAGTTAGATGTCGTCGAGTCACTTCTTACGATGCCGGTAGTGGGAGGTGTTCGGTCAACCTCAGTAAAATCCCTCGACTCCCTCCGCGAGAACCTTCGCCCTCATGGAACGGACGAACTCGTCGACGGACTGATCTCTCCGAACTCGGTCTCGGAGCATGGGCCACACTCTCATTGATGTTAGTCCCTGCTCGTTCACTGCTCAGGTAAGCAAAAAATGCTTCCGGTACAAACTAACACTTTTAGGATGAAAGAAGAAGATTGTGAACAACTCAATGTATTGAGTATTAA